TCCAAAAATCAGTTGGATTCCTCTACACCAGCAAAGAGATTTCTGAAAAGTAAAGAAGGAAATCAATACCATTTACAATAGCTACCAAAAAAATAAAATACTTGGGAATAAATGCTACCAGGCACACAAAAGGCCTGTACAAAGAAAACTATAAAAGACTACTCCAAGAAACCATAAGCGATCTATATAAATGGAAGAACATCCCCTGCTCATGGATAGGAAGATTGAAAATTGTGAAAATGTCAATTCTACCCAAAGCAATCTATACACTCAATGCAATCCCAATCCAGATCCCATCAGCATTCTTTAAGGATATGCGCAAACCTATCACTAACTTTATATGGAAAGGAAAGAGACCTTGGCTAAGCAAAGCACTACTGAAGAACAACAAAGTAGGATGTCTCACACTCCTGGATCTCAAAACCTACACTACACAGCCACAATAGTCACAACAGCCTGGTATTGGTACAACAACAGACACACAGACCAGTGGAACAGAATTGAGAACCCAAAAAGAGATTCATCGACTTATGGTGGCTGATTTTTGACAAAAGGTTAAAATATATTAAATGGGGAAGAGATTGTCTGCTGAACAAATGATGTTGGCAAAACTGGGTATCTATTTGCAGAGAAGTGAAACAAGATCTCTACCTCACACCATACACAAAAACTAACTCCAGATGGATCAAAGACTTCAATGTGAAACCTAAAACTCTACAGTTCCTCAAGGAAACAATAGGAGAAAGTTTAGGGGCCCTAATTTATGGCATAAATAGACTGTCAAGCATAACCCAAAATGCTCAAACAGCAGAAGATAAACTAGATGCATATGACCTTCTGAAAATTAAATTTTCATGTGCTTCCAAAGACTTCTCCGAAAGAGTATAAAGGGAACCTAATGATTGGGAAAATATATCCCACAATGACGTATCTGACAAGGGACTTATCTCTAAAATTTATAGAAAACTCCAAAGTCTCAACAACAAAAAGACAAACAATCCAATTTAAAAATGGGCAGAAGACATGAATAGACACTTCACCAAAGAGGATATTCAAGCAGCCAACAAACACATGAAGAAACGCTCACAATCATTAGAGAGATTGTTGTGGCTGTTATGTGCTGTCGAGTTGGACCCAACTCATAGCGACTCCTCCTTGGGTTTCCGAGGCAGTATCACTATGGAAGTAGATTGCCCATCTTCCTTCCAAGGAACGGCTGGTGGGTTTGAACCGCCAGCCTTCTGGTTAGCAGTCAAGTGCCTTATGCTACCAGACCTCCCATTAGAGAGATTAGAAAGATGCAAATCAAAACAACGAGATACCATCTTGCCCCAGCACTAGCAGCAAAGTTCAACAAGACAGAAAATAACAAATGCTGGTGAGGATGTGGAGAGATTGGGACTCTCATACATTGCTGGTGGGAACTGTAAAATAATACAACCACTGTGGAAACCTTAAAAAGTTGCAATTAGAAATACTATTTGATCCAGCAAATCCCGTTACTAGGTATACATCCTAAGTGAGAGTGCGAGCCAGGGTAAGAACAGATATATTCTACACATGTTTATCACAGCACTATTTACAACAGCAAAAAGATGGAAACAACCTAGGTGCCCATCAACAAGAGATGGATAACCAAATTATGGTACATACAATCGCAAAATACCGCATAACATGGATGAACCTGGAGGACATTACGCTGAGTGAAAAAAGTCAGTGACAGAAGGACAAATACTGTATTAGTCCATTACTGTAAAAAGTCAAGGAAAGGTTTATATATGGAAGGAAATTGTCTTTGTTGATTATCAGGTGTAGGAGGGGAGGGGAGGGAACACTGCAAAAAGAGAAAAAAAAAAAAAAGCTTTTGAGTGGCCATCTAAGATGCAACTATTGGCCTCTCCACATCTAGAGCAAAGAAGGGTGAAGAAAATCAAAGATGCATGGAAACAGTAAGTCCAAGGGACTAGTAAACCATGGGAACCTCACACTACATGACCCTGAGGCCAGAAGAACTAGATGATTTCCAGGTACCACTGCCAACCACCCAGAAAGGGATCAAAATTAGAGATCCTGTATGGAACAAAACTCAAGATCATTAAAAAAAAGAAGAAGAAAAAAAAAAAAACAAGCTTACTTGTCTGATAGAGTGTAACCCCTGAGACTATGGCCCCTTGTCACCCTTCAGGCCTCGAACTGAACACACTCCCCTGACTTCCAGCCTAGCAACAGACAAGCCTACAAGCTGAACATTTATTTATACCAGCAGGTATACTCCTTAGAACAATAAAGCATGGGTGATCAGAAGGGCAGTATTTACACAGGGAGATAGATCAGACAGCAGAAATGCGTAGGAAAGAAGGACCCAGGGAAAAGGTAACCACAGGGAGGAAGTGGGAAGAGAGCTATTATATTATGAGGATTGTAATCAATGTCATGAAACAAAACATGTATGAACTGTTGAATGAAAAATGAATTATCTCTGCAAACTTCCACTCAAATCACAATTTAAAAATTTTTAAAAAATAAAACTTAAAAAAAAAAGAATGTCTGCCTGAAGCATTATGCTCCTTTAAGATCTATCTATAGGGGAACTAACAGATCTGTCCTGGAGGAAGTGCAGCCAGAATGCTCCTTGGAAGCAAGAATGGCCAGACTTCGTCTCACCTATTTTGGTCATGTTGTAAGAAGGGACCATTCCCTGGAGAAGGATGTCATGCTTGGTGGGGTGGAGGGTCGACGAAAGAGGGGGAGGCCTTCAAGGAGATGGATTGATACAGTGGCTGCGATGATGGGCTCAAGTATAGCAGGGATTGTGGGGCTGGCGCGGGATCGGGCAGTGTTTCGTTCTGCTGTGCATGGGGTTGCTATGAGTCGGAAACGACTCGATGGCACTTAACAACAACATAGGGGATCATATTTACAACATCAATTCAAACCAATAAACAAGAACTTTAGGGGACAGTGAGTTTATGTAAATGAAAGAGAACTCAGAAAAGTAGGTGAGAAAAGTTGCCCAACTCGGAGAATGTAATCAATATCACTGATTGTACATGTAGAAACTTAAGTTGGTTATGTTTTTGCTGGGTATATTCTCAACAAAAACAACAAAAAACAGAATACCTCCTTCTCCATTTCTGAAGTTGGTAGAAAAGTTAATTTCCCTTAAAGCAAGCGAGATTATCTAAAAATTATCTGGTTTCTCCATACTTCCAACTTCCAAAAGACAAATGAACAGATGCCTAAAAAACCTTTTTCTTTCCTTTTAAATATATTTTAAAAGAACATTTGAACAACTTTGTAAAAGATATACTTCTACTATTACCTGAAGAGTTCTGTCACATCCACCCATATGTACTTTATTCACAAAAATATTGGGGACAGTTCTCTGATTAGTAATCTCTGACAGAACTTCTTGAACAGTGGCCCCATCATCTGAAGAATAAAAAATTAAATACATAAAAATATGGAAAGGGTTCCAAACTTTTATCAGTTGAACTAGTGTCACAATGCCCAAAAGCTCATGTACAGACCCATAAATGGTCGTTGTACTATATAACCATATGAATTGATGAGTCAGGGTAGGGAAACCACCTATACTTTCGGAGGAAACCCTAGTTAAAGAACAAAGCCAATCTACTGATTCTTTAAAAATAAACACTTCTAAGTTAGATTTTGATAAATAATTCAATGACTATCCTATGACAAATACCTATGACTCTCTTAATAAAACAAGTATCAAGATAAAATCTGCTAAAACAGTAATCACTCAGAAAATACTTTGAAAATATTTGAAAAGCTTAAAAAATCCTTATGATCAAAGTCGAAAGTTTATCTTCCATTCCTAATATAAAACTAGACCAGTAGTATTTAAGACTATCCCATATGGTATACCCTTTAGAAAAGTCTCAAAAGATTCAAGAACTTTTCACTCAGTGAAGTGACTTGGCTAAGTGCTCACTTCAGCAGCACATATAAAGTGAGACTTGGCTAAAACAGTCAGTGGAATTCCCTGAAGGCAAAGACCAAGTTTGTTTTGTTCCATAGCTTCAAACTGGTTCAAACCAGTTCATTTACGGCTGACAAAGTAAAACCTAAAACAGACTCGAATTTTAAAACTTGGGTGATGTGGAACGCTAAATGGAACAAGAAAAACTAGAGGCTGAAGTCCTAGAATGGAAGACTCAGAAGAGGTATAGTAAGCCCTGAAGGAGCCTGATGTGTGAGACTGGATTATTGCCAGGACTGAATTGACCTCCATTCAAAGCAGTGTGGTTAGCCACCATCTTTGAGCCAGGCCTGTTTTTGACTCAGCCACTAAAGATATTTGGTTGCCAAGTACACACTGCCCTTGTTTTCTAAGACAGAGAGTATGTTTCTAGCAGGGCTTTGATCTGTACTTTTTCCCATTCTAGTTTATCCACATTTAAAAATTCGGGTCTGGTCTGGTGTCATTTTGTCAGCCATGACTGAACCAGGCTGAAATGGTTCAAAGCCTGTTCTGTTTACCACTATCATCCCCTGCCCTTTCAGAACACCTGCCTGTGTTAAGTGTTCAATTGATACTGGACAGGTGGAGGGAGGCAAGGTTGGAAGGAGGGAAGAACAACAAGAATTCAAAAGGATAAAGCTAAAAAAATATTGTATTTTCCCTCATAGTAATACAACCTGGAAACAGGAGTACATTCTTTTCATTTATTACAGCTTACTCTATTTTATAAAGTTTATAGATACATCTGAAATGTCTAAAGTACTTCCAGGTAGCAGTTTATGTGTCTTCCTCCCACTCCTTCCCCTCAATTCAAGACAAATTAAAAACTAATCTAAATCAAATTTTATCACTTATGGGCTCACTGTTATCCATAGTTGAATGCAGACCAAAACAGCTTCCCTAACTCAAAAACAAAAGTAAATTAAATAGAAAGATGAAATCTTGTTGACACTTATTATAAATCAAAGCTATGTACTATCCATTATACTTACCAATTTGATCAAGTTCCAAGATATTATATCCAACTCCCAAAGAAGAAAAGAGTTCTTTAACCTGTAACAAAAATTTCTGTAAGTTTCACTCTCACAATAGATGCAACAGAGTTATGAAACACAGGCATAGCAATACGGGATGTCCAAAATAAATTCTGTTCAGGAATTTGAGTTCTAACCTATCCTGTTTTTCATTTCTCATATACAATAATCTCAGCTAATCCCTTCCTTTACCAGGTGGATCCATGACTCCAAGTCTACAACTTTTCCTAAATTTCTTTTCTGAACTCAAAACAAGATATAATTCTCCACCTTGACACCCCACAGGCTCCTCACACCCAACATGCCCAAAATACAATTTATCTTCTCCCACATACCTTTTCCTCTGTGTTTCCTTTCAATATTCATTAAGTCATTCAGCAAATATTTACCCATCAAATACCTGTATGTGTCAACCACTGTTCTAAATGCTTAAGATGTAACAATGAACCGTGAACAAGACACAATCCCTGCCCTCTAGTAGGGAAGATAGACAAGCAAACAGACAATTTTACTATACTACCATTCATCAGTTGCTTAAACAAGAAACCCTAAAGCCTTTCTATTCAAAAAGTAGGCAGAGGAACAGTAGCATGAATATCACCTGGGAGCTGGCTGGAAATGTAAAACCAGGCCCTGAATCACAGTCAACATTTTAACAACTTTCAGAAGCACTCACTAGGAAATATTTTAATGCCACCATCTCAAGCAACATCTTCCCATCCTCACACTGACTTCCCATCCATCCAATTAATTACTAAGCTTTAAAAATTCTCTATTTTGAACAGGTTGCTTTTTCTATAAATTGCAGCCAAAGTGGTCTTTTGTTTTTAAAATTTAAAAAAAAAAAAAAAAATTGTCATTTGGGTGAAAGTTTACGGAGCAAATTCATTTTCCACCCAACAGTTCATACACATTTTGTTCATGACACTGACTGTAATCCCCATAATGTAACAGTTCTCTTCCCAAAATGGTCTTTTACATCCTGTTTTTTACCATATTACTTAAAACTCTTCAATGCTCAGTCCTCAAGATAAAGCTTAGAGGTCTCATTTCTAGAATACAGTGTGAAGAGCTCAATGGATCTACTCCCCAGAGAAATACTCTTAACTAGTGAAACTTATTTTAAAAGCAACAATTTAAATTCTCTGGAAATTATCCTAAAAGGATACAGCAAATAAGAAATGTTTATTCAACAAAATCTATTCCAAAAAATCTAGTACATCTCAGTAAAACCAGCAAGTCCGTGGCACTTAAGCCACAACTCACTCCATCCCTCCCTCATCCCTAGATGCTGTTGCTATTTTTTTGTTTCATAAAATCTAATTCAACTCATCATGACCCCAAGAGAGCATGACAAAGGTTCACTTCAAGTGGATGTGGCCATGGGGAAAAAAAAAAAAAAAAAGAAACGCAGTTCCCTATCCCCTCAGCTCCCAGTTAACGGATACAGTATCCCACCAAAAGGGCAGGATGCCAGCATTTCACAATTTCACCACAGCTCCAAGACAGAAGCTAAATTCCTCTGCATGGCCAACAGATTGGGGATCTCTTCTTCCACCCACTGTCTTGGTCCCGCGGCCCCATGCTCAGGCGAGTTTTACAAAGTTCTTTTGGCTCTGCCAATAAATGCCTTGGCCTGAAGGCCTTGAGCTCTAGCAAACAGCTCCACCACTCCTCCAAAAAGACTCCTTCCCAAAGGCACTCAGTTTTCTCATTCCATGGGTCTGGAAGCCCACCATGCCATCTCCTGCCAGTCTCCTGTTCCTGCTACCTCTGCTGCTACTGTTTCACTGCCACCGCTTCTTGTCATCTCTCCAGTGTTACAAATTTCTGTCCCCTGGATCAAGAAGGCTCAGCATAGGGATCTTTGGTCCAAAGGATGCACTCTACTCCTGGCACTTCTTTCTTCATGGTAGTGAAATCCAGCCCCCTTCCTGCCTCTGGAATGGCTCATTTTAAGCCTAACATGATAGCAAAACTGATTAATCCTCACATTAAGGTTCCATATATTTAATTTACACAGTCCCACCCTCCCAAGTGTGCCATGAACCTTATTTGTGTTATTAGCAAGTTATCCAATCCCCTTGGTAGGCCACAAGCACCTCACATTTGCACAGTCCCACCCAGTCATTTGGTGAGAGTTATAAAGACTATGGCTAGAAGGGCCATATTAAGTAATCCACTGCACCACAACAGTCTACAAAGAAAGTGTTCTACATCCTACTTTGGTGAATAGTGACTGGAGTCTTAAGAGCTTGTAAGCAGTCACCTAAGGTACAACTATTAGTCTCTCCCCCCTCCAGAGCAAGGAACAGTGAAGAAAATCAAAGACACAGGGAAATAATTAATTCAAAGGACTAATGGACTACACAAACCTCAGTATTCACCACCCTGAGACTAGAAACAGATGGTGCCCTGCTACTACTACCAATCACTATGAAAGTGATCACATAGAAGGTCCTGGATAGAGTGGGAGAAAACTGTTGAACAAAACTGAAAATCATAAAAAAGATCAGGGTCACTGGTCAGATAGAGACCAGTGGAACACCTAAGACTATAGTCCTTAGTCATTCTTCAAGCTTGGACCTGAATTCACCTGAGGCTCAACTTTCGGTCCAACAAACAGATCTATAACACCATGGAGGTATGCACTCCTTAGAACAATCAACCATACATGATCAAAAGGGCAGCATTTGCCCATAGACAAAGTTCAAAAGGCAAGAAGGGACAAGAAAGGAGGAGGAATGGAAATGAAAAACACAGGGAAGAAATGAGATGAGTGATGTTACATTGTGGGTGTTGTAATCAATGCCATGAAATAAAATGTGTATGAAATGTTGGATGGAAAACAATAAAAGGTTAAAAAATAAATAAATAGCAGCAGCAGTATCAAGGAAGGTACTATGACAATGTTTCATCTAATAGGAAATATCAAAGACAAACCAGCCCAAGGAAAAGGTTACAATACATACAAGGGAACCCAATTAACAGCTGACTTCAAATCAGAAACAATGAAGGCCAAAGGCAGTGGAATGACATACAAAATGTGCTGGAAAAAAAAGTATAACCAAGAATCTTGTATGTAGCAAAACTATCTTTCAAAAATGAAAGTGAGGAAAACAGTTTTACAGTACCTCAAAAAGTTTAACATGTAATATATTTGACAATAGAAGCTCTAGTAGCATAGTGCCTAACGTACTTGACTGCTAACCAGAAGGTTGGCTGTTCAAACCCACCGGCCACTTCTCAGAAGGAAGGTTGGTCAATCTACTTCTGTAGAGATACTGCCTCAGAAACCCAAGCAGGGGTCGACTATGAATTGGGTCGACTCGATGGCACATAACAACAACAACATATTTGACAATAACCACAAAAGGAGGTGGGCAAGACTAAAGCTGTATTAAAGTAAGAAATGATACCAAAAGGTAACTTAAATCCACAGAAACAAATAAACATAACCATAAATCGTCAGTAAGATGAGTAATCTAACAAACTACACAAATATAAACAACTCTTATCTTCTCTTTTATGTTTTTCAAAGACATGAAATGATATAACAATTATTCTAGTAATATATGAAGGAAGATGAGGCAATCTACTTCCGTAGTGATACTGCCTCAGAAACCCAAGGAGGGATCGCTATGAGTTGGGGCCGACTCGACGGCACATAACAACAACAACATAGTAATATATTGTTGGGTTTGTAACATACAGATGAAATATAGGTAACAGTACAAAAAGGAGGAAGAAATAAAGGTAGAGAGGAATAATATTACTATACTTCACTGGAATTAACTTAGTATAAATCTGAAGAACATCTTAGTAAGTTATTAAGATGTGTACGTTAAGTCCTAGAAAAAATCTTTTAGAAAATTATATATATATATACACACACACACACACACACACATATATGTGTGTATATACATATACATATATATATATATATATATATAC